CCTGATAGTGTTCTCGAAATAAAATTTCAAGTTCAAAACAGTGAAAAAATAATCACATAAAACTATTTTCATACAGTCAAACAAACAGGTATAATAAAATCTTCAGTATTCCAAAAGTCTAATAATTAAAACCCAATGAAACCAAGAATATTCAGCAATTTTTCTCATGTTCCGATTGTGTTTGGGATATGTGGTCCACAATCAAACCCAAAAACTTAAGGATTTTTTTGGGATGCTTGGGGGCGATTGGGGGGAGGTGAAACAACCACGATAGGCATTTTGATGCCCTATTGCACACCATTTCTTATGTGTTGTGATTGAGTTCTTTTAACATTTGTTCAGCATCAAAAAATCGTCATGTTCGCAAATTGAGATTGGTGATGCTGTGTACAGTGAGAAAAAAAAGAGGACTGAGTTCTGAGACTGAGACTGAGGTTATTCCCGAGTTTACCTTCCAGAAGAGTAGGTAACCCTAATTTAAAAAAAATATTTTGGTTACCATTATGTTAATGACATTCGTCAGATGGTGTCCATTCACACACACACACACACACACACACACACACACACACACACACACACACACACACACACACACACACACACACACACACACACACACACACTCTGATCCTCTCCTCTTTCTATCTGTTCGTCTGTCCGGCGCTTTCTCTCTCTCACACACTCTCTCTCTCTCTCTCTCTCTCTCTCTCTCTCTCTCTCTCTTTCTCCTCAACTTATGATTAAATATTTGGATGCATTTGTGGTTAGAATGCTTGTCTGACTATTGAAGTTCGACAAAGTTCGACCACCATAAGTCCACATTGGTTTGACAATCGTGGTGTATGTCGAGTAGTGGTGTTAATTGTTATGTCGTTTAGTAGTTCGTTCCGTTTTTGTCTTAGATTCGAAGTATATTTCGTTTTTTAGGTTTTGATGTTATCCGGCATTGGCCGTTTCTAAACTAAAACTTCCTTACATATATTTATTAATTATTGGAGTGTTTAAGAATGAACTGGAATTGGGATCTATTTGAATTCGAAATACCACCTTAGGTTAAAATCAAAGCTAACCGTGTATAGAGAGAGTAATTAAGCATAAGTAGAGGATTCTACACCAAAACAATAATTGTACTTTGTATTTAAGCTGATTGCTATTAAATTATCTCGTTTAATGAAATAATGCTTGTTTATTTACAAAATAAGTGAACAGAGATAAGTTTTGTTTGTAAACAAAAATTGGACAACAAAGCAATACTGTAAATACAAACAACATTTCAGTATAGGTGTTAATAGGGTTTTACGTTTGATTATAAATACGTGGTGTTTTGTGATGTTTAGTTTATTTAAGAATTTATTTTTGTTTTAACCAGAAAAGTCTTTATAATTGATACAATTGTTGAAAATTTCAATACTTATGAACTTCAATTGTGTTTGTTTTTAAGTTTTGCTTTTATAAGGAATCCACAAACATTCAATCCATCATTTCATTGAAGATATCGATGTCTAGGGCATCAGCCTCCTCCCCTCTTCAGTCTATATATTCAAAAATTAAATAATTACTCATGAACATATTAAAAGATAGTTTAATGGTAAAATTGCTGCAAGAGACACCGTTTCATTTTTGGAAACTCATAAAACAGTTATTTTTTCTTACTACATTTACCTTTGTGCTATTGAATGCTTCTCAGTGTTTGCATAGACATAAAAAATTAATTAATATTTAATACACTTAATAAAACTAAGCTTAGAATGCAGACGTAAAGCATGATGATACATGGTGAAAAAGTATAAAAGTGACTGTAACAAAACTAAAACAGTGCAATACACGTTAGAAGTTTCAATTCTTATGCAAAATTGGAAAAACGACACAGTTTCTGTATAAAAGAGTGAACAAAACAGATGTAAAGAATAAAAGAAAAAACTGGATTAAGAGAACATGGAACAAAACTGAGCATAAAATTAATTCCGATGACGTTAAGATCTTACAATTAGATAAAATATCATAGAAAAGAATGATTTCAAACTAATATAATAACTAATAGAAAATATCCACATTTAGAAGACAACAATACAAACATACAAGAAAAAATAAAATGTGTAAACAATATAAAATCATTTTATAAACGTACCAAAATTGGCAACAGAATTTAAAATTTAAAGTAAAAAAAGTAAATGTGATAAAATAATAGTTTAAAAAAATAATTAACAAAAAATGTATTTGTTTAAATTTTTCCAAATGTGTAAATATAAAATTAAATAATGTAAAATTATATATAAAAAAAGAAATTGTAGATTAACTTTTTACCACTTTGAATGAGTAAAGTTTATACTGCGTACGTTTATACGTACTACACGTAGGGATGATTTTTTGTGTGCCATCCTTGCGCAGGGCCCAGCTAATCTTCTCTGTATCGCTATTTATGCGTTTCCAAAATTGAAACGATGAAGGTGTCTACTACAGCAATTCTACTATTAAACTATGATTTGTTGAAAATTAGATTGATAAAAATATTCTTAATAAGTAATTCTGTAATTTTTGAATATGTAGACTGAAGAGGGAGGCTGGTGCCCCCGAAATCGATGTATTCAATAATTCGGTTTGATTTGTTGTGGGTTTCTTTAAAAAAAACCACCTTAAAAACACATAAAATAAGTCTACAAACAGGAATGAAGAAGAAGAGGAGAATGAGAATTCAATTGTGTTTATCTTTAACGTTATACAATGTAACAAATGGCCTACTGACTTTTTCCTTCCTTTTTAAATGGCTAAGTGATTGAAATTCAAATAAGCACCTTTATAGTTATATTAAATCAGAAGTATCTAAAAATCCTGTGGCCTTTTAAAATTCTCCGATTCGGCAGACAGAATGTCTTCCTTTCGCGGTTGATAACTCCACCGGCGCCCACGCCCTGAACCCTGCTCCGTATTTGGCGTTGTCGGTCCAGGTACGAAGGTGTGAGAGTACGCCCACCGCCGTACCGGTCCCCACGCTGTCTAGTCCGACACTCCAAATTATAATTATTTCAATTGATTATGCCGCCGATTACAAACACACGGGGTTTTAACTTGTTGCTCCCGGGTTTTTTGTCCACATTTCTTGCTGACAGTTGTTGTCAGGGCTTTGAAATCGGCTTCGGCTGCCCACTTCTTCGTAGGGGCTATTGAACCCGATACCATCGGCTACTTGATCTTTCAGCTAACCTGGTAGGCATTAAATACTTTACACCGGGAAGTTGCGAACATTGCGAATTCAAGCTATCTGGTTAAGAAGAAAGTTACAGGCCATGAGGTTGGGACAGTCGATATAGATTATGCCACAAACACAAAACTGATTTAAAAAATTCAAGTTCGAGTCGTGGTCGTTCACACCTGTCAAAATGGTTCTGTTGAAAAATAACAAAGCTACAAGTCAAAAAGGCCAATCTACTAAATAAACACTAGCTGACTGAATAATTTCAGTTGTGGTTTTTGGCCTGCGTGTCATGTGACAAATTGAACTGATCAACACTCGTTTACTCTTTCGGCCCGTTTCCTCTCGCTGGTATATTTTTATAAATAGCAAGAAACCGACGCGAAGGAAAATTATATAAACCGCGACAATAAAATTAATATAGTATTGTTTGTGGTCTTAAATTTTTTTTGACAAACAACAAAACATCCCTTTTATATTATATTACTAGCAGTCTTTTATTAATTATACGTAATAATACAACAAATTTAATATTCATATGTACGTGTAATTACCATAGATATGAAATATCATATTAGCATTGATTATAAATATCTCTCTCAATCTCTCTCTCTCTCAGGTTTTCTCTCACATGCTCTCTCTCTCTCTCTCACTCTCACTCACCCTGTCTATCTCTATATTCCTCGACTCCCTTACTCTCTCTCTCATTCTCACTCTCACTCTCACTCACCCTGTCTATCTCTATATTCCTTGTCTCCCTTACTCTCTCTCTCTCTCTCTCTCTCTCTCTCTCTCTCTGGTTTTCTCTCACATGCTCTCTCTCTTTCTCTCTGTCTTTCTTTCTTCTTCTCTCTGTTTGTGTTTCACTCTCTATTTCACTTTCTCTCTCTCACTCTCTCTCTCACTCTCACTCTCACTCTCACTCTCACTCTCACTCACCCTGTCTATCTCTATATTCCTCGACTCCCTTACTTTCTCTCTCATTCTCACTCTCACTCTCACTCACCCTGTCTATCTCTATATTCCTTGTCTCCCTTACTCTCTCTCTCTCTCTCTCTCTCTCTCTCTCTCTTTCTCTCTTTCTCTCTTTCTCTCTCTCTCTCTCTCTCTCTCAGGTTTTCTCTCACATGCTCTCTCTCTCTCTCTCAGGTTTTCTCTCACATGCTCTCTCTCTCTCTCTCTTTCTCTTTCTCTCTTTCTTTCTCTCTTGTTCTCTCTGTTTGTGTTTCACTCTCTATTTCACTTTCTCTCCCTCTCTCTCTCTCTGGTTTCTCTCTCCCTTTCTTCCAGTTAAAAAATATTACAAAACCCACAAAAGTTAAACAACAAATTAATAATTAATAAACTACTATGAACAAGAGTAACGAATTCTACTACAGATTTAAAGAATAAATTATAATTATTGAAACAATATGATCGAGCCGTTGAAGTAAACCAATTTTATCTTTATTTAGTCAAACATATATTAGATTTTTAACTTTCTCCCTTATGCCAAGACGGCCGAGAAACTACATATCGCTATCAGAATTAAAACTTACGAGTTTCTAGTTTATACGCGTCTTCTACAAAAATATTTATGCTGTCACGCAATTGTTTACGTTATCAAATATGAACTGGCGTCACATATTTTTGTAAAGCTAATATTCGAAAATAACTGAAGCGAGAGTTTTAATTTTACCTTGTAAATTTACAATTTAATTGTTCGGTCAAAGTTATTACAGACATCACGAGCTTCGCCCAAACTTCAGTTTTCAACATATACCTACAATAAAAATATAAGTTTTTTATTTTCTGTTTTCACTTCCAGGAGAATGCTGAAGCATGTGCAGCTGAGCCCTTACAGGCAGAGGTCGCACGATACTGTTAGCCTTAGCTCGACGGCCAGCTATTCAAGCCTGAGCAGGTCTTCCAGCTACTCGAGCCTGAACGAAACTAACTCACCGACAGTAAGTTTTATTTACTTTCCTTCCCTTTTATAAGTCCGACCCTACCGTTTGTCCACAAATTGACTACAACCAAATAAATACCAAAATGCTACCAGGTGCTTAAAGCTAAAGGAATTCGTGAACTCCTGGCCAGGTTTTACGATCACGTTTTTTACTTTTCAATTAACGTGAGGCCCGCTATTAGAAGTTTATTGCTATCTTGTTCCCTCACACGAATTTCCCTTTGTAGCTCACGACTGTTCTTCCGTTTCCTTTAATATTTAAAACATTTATTCAATATTATAATTCAAAACTAGGAAAAAATCTTTCCCTGAACTGGTCTTTTTTTAAACTTTAATTTCTGCGAGAAACAGAAAGAAAAATTCCCCCAAGCTTACAAAAATCTGTGTAGGTCGGTTTGGGGTCCATTTATTATAAATAATTGATAGGTTATGTGTTGATATGTAAATGATAATCAATGTGGTTAACATAAATGGCGAGATTTTCTCTTGATGTGGGGGGTCGATTTACCTGAAATTTGGCCGGGTACTCAATAAGTACCACTCTCTCTCTCTCTCTCTCTCTCTCTCTCTCTCTCTCTCTCTCTCTCTCTCTCTCTCTCTCCCCCCTCCTCCCTCTCCCTCTCCTGATTTTAACACACATAAACTTATTGTTTCAATACGTTATTCGAAGCCAAACTGCCACATCACCTGCGAAATGGGAAGGAAAGTCGAATTTCCGTGAAGATGTGAACAAGTGGTTATCGGCAGCAGAATCATTTATATCCCAAAAGACAAAGTAAGAAAAACTAAAAATTGTCGTTTTCCTGCACAGTTTTTTGAAAAGGATCTCGGAACAAAATTTGTACAGCGTAAAATTTAGGAAAACGAGACAGTTCAAAATTTATGCATTCTTGAAAATCGGGATTGAGAGGATCGGTTTTTTCCATGATCACGTAAAAACTATGTTTTTGCGCAAAAATCGCGAATAACTCGAAAACGGTTGACAGATCGGGCAAAGTAGAAGATGACCAATTGAAAGCTTATTAAAATTTCCTATCGAATCCTATAGGCCGCCGCTTCAAATACGATTTTCTGGCCCCATGGGCACAATTTAAAGCTTTCGTAAAAAGTGCAAAAATTAATTTATTCCCGAATTTTTTAATTAACTGATGAACGCTGAAGCTAGGAAAACTTTTAAAATTGTTCAGCGTAAAACTTTCTTAAAAATAAGACCTAGCACAGATCTGTGACTTAAAAGGCTGATAACATATGCATTTTGAAATTTGCCCACTTTTTCATGCAAAAACCAGGTCGTTTTTTATGTATATGATTATGATGTATACGGATATGACTTTTTCTGTCTATAAAATATTTATTTTTTTGATGAACAATCTGTTTTTGCTGTAAGTAAATCACTTCAAAGATTTGCTTTAAAAAATCTGATAACGCTTTATCATAATTGGCTATCATTTTAATTCCTCAATAAAAAGAAACGGCAAAAAAGTTTCGCCAACGGATCTGTGAGAAATGGATTGGAGAAAAAAAGATTTTTTATATTTTTTTCCTTAAAAAAAGATATATATATGTCTGTTCTGATGTATGCCGGCGCGTTTGTGTGGGAAGGAGAAATCTTACAATGGTCCAGACATCGGACACCGGCAAATGGTAGGTGAGACCTACCTGGCTTACTGTCCCACGGGATAAACGGGTTCTGTGTTTAAGGAAGGGCCTTTCTTTCAGTCATGTGACGCGAGGATGTTCAAAGTTCGAGAGGTTTCAGAGGAAGGAGACGGCTTATTCTTTCCCACCTGCTGATAATATTTCTCAGCTCTATTAAATAAAACATTAAACATCAAGCCTGTCATAAAGAATGTATCAATTAAAACCGAAAGGGTTATCTCACGGAGCGATTTATTAACCGGTTATTGGTTATTGGAGATGGCTTTTTGTATTTCAATTTCGACCATTGGGCCTATAGTGGAGTATCAAAAACGTTTTCTATGATAATTGTTACTGCCTTATATAAAACAGGATAATCACTTTTAGAAGGGTTTTGTTTTGTAAATTTTCTGGGATATTTTAAGATAGAGAAGATTATCTAGTTGTCAAATAAAAATATTTGATCGATACGATATCTAAGTGGATGTTGACTATTTTTTATAGAGATAAAGTGTGGAAACGAAGATCAACGACTTTCGCACGGTACAAAAATTATGTTCTGATGATTATCATATTAGCGAAACGATCGGGTTTTTGGCTACCGTAAATTTTCTGCAGGTTATATAAAAGGCAGCAAAATATAAAACAGTACAAATTGTTAGAATAATTATTAGAGGCAAGTTTGATCAATTGTTGTTTCAGTTGTGTATTCCTATACACAATAATGTAAAAAAATCGGTTATAAAGCACAATAATTCAAATGATAACAAGAACTACTAAAACCCGATTCGGACAGGGGAATGTTCTCTAAAATAAATTAAAAAAAATTGATAGTTTGAACGGATTGACACTACTTCACTTCATGTCTCCGTTAACAATTTTGTCATAAGACTTTTGATTGGAATCTTTGGATGCTTTGGGAGTTGGAATGCTTGGTTGACCTCCAAGAGTTCCCAGAGAGCTTCCCAGAAGTCCACATAGTTTTGAGAACCATGGAGTATATTAATCTTTTTTAATTAAGTGAAAGTTTGGATCCTCTGTCGAGTAGTGGTGATAACAGTTTGTAACGTCTGTTTTAATGTTTTAATCAAAACAAATTTTTACCTGATATAAAAGTCCAGTAACCTCTACGTCGACTCTTACCAAGAAAACCTTATTAAAAATTGGTTTGCTTGTAATTACCCAACACCTACAAACCTCAGTCCCTTAATAAGTGGATCTATTGTTCCATAAAGTTTCATCGAACAATAGGTCGTCACCACACCCTTGAAAAAATCATTATATCAATTATGTTTAATGGTAGCCCTTTTTCTTAAGGGTTCTTCTCTTCTCTTTTTGGATTTCTCAACTGACTGCCCGTATTCTTGTTTTCGGACGATCTCTGAACAACGCACCTTGCAAACACGGGAATAAATGATTGCACACTTTTGTTCCCAACCTCATAAAATTGTACGACATTTATTTATGCACCGGCTGTCACCGTATTATAATCTTGCCCTTAATTTTCTATTCAATCCCGCGCGAACAGCCGACCCCGTGGCCTTTTCACGATTCAATTTGTTTAAAGCTGTTGTAATTCTTTTTCCCGATAATATTATTAACCGTATCACTCTAATTATGAGTAAGTACATTAAAGGACTACACTAAAGTACAGGAAAGAAAATAATGATAATAATGTGGGAAGTTTAACGGCTGTCAAAAAGCTGATGCACCCTCTGCGTGCTATTACTTATTTTTGCTGTTTTTGACGCGTATTTTTCAATCTGCGTCTCGATTCATAACTGACTCAATGCTTCTGTAGGAAAACTAAGTCGATGTCCTAAAATGTCCTCTCATTCGTAGCTCAGATTGTCAACTGACAAATTCTTACATCATACACACACGTATTCTATGCATCTACATATACATCACCATAAACATATTAGTCTAGTCACATTGACACCCCAGAGTGCGGTATACTCCTCGGGGCGGGGTTATCCTTCCTTTTACACTAATAAATTACATTCATTCTAATAAATTAACTGAAAATAGAAATAATTTAACAATCTATAACTTCTTTGTAATGTTATCTCCTAACGAAATCATCTCTTCTAAACAATTTAACTATGTTTTGATAATAAATAATCACGTGTGACCTCTAATTTGTACGTTTTCAGCTTTTAGATAGTAGATTCGAAAATAATTGTTAATTTAAATGGGCCTCAGATGGAAAGAAGGAATAGGTTTTTTTCTAATTTATTTTCTTTCCGTGGTATCGAAGCTTTACCTTGGCCTAACTTGTGTCGTTAACCTGATCTTTTTGTTTTACCTTTTCCTTTTTTTTTTGTAACCTGCTCTTCCAATCGGACGACCCGATCGTTTGTCCCGTTTTCTTCCTAGACTGTCATTAAGTTGTACCATGATGTATTTCTATGTTATTCTCTCTGATATCGTTTTATTTTTCGACGACTGATACCAGTTGTGTACATGGCCTCCCACGACTATTTTGCCAGTTTAAAACTGTTTACATGCTCAACAAACAACTGCTGAATGTTGATTCTAAATCGATTTAAATAAATATTTTTATTGGATTTTTGGGGGATTCCAAATACGCGGATTAAAGTTTCCTCTGACTCATCAAGGAAGTCGGGTGGACTGTTCAGTGCCTCGTCCGAACACTAATCATGGGAAATTTTCAATTTTAAACCAAGGCCATAGAATCCACGGCTCGGTATCAGATGTAGGGCGGACGAGCAAGGACGGAGAAGGTCGCCACGGCGCAATTGTGGAAAAACAATGGGGAACAGGAGGAAGTAGATGGAGCCGTGGGAAAGCGTCGGTTTCTTTCCAGACTTTTGCCAAAAACGTCGCATTCCTTTTCGAGAAGGTTTTTTTTCTTAACCCGATCCGTGGAATAGGGCGTGAAACCCTAGATGGAATCCTTTAGCCGGATCGTCATGGGAAGGGCTCGAGTAATATAAACCAAGGTGGCTGCTGAGGATGTGAGGGCCAATCCTTCCTCCTGTGCTCTTCTAATTAAATGAGCCAACAGGGGCAATCGCCGTTCCGAGGGTCCGATCCCTTTTATTCCGGCCGTCACGAAAAAAGATCCGGTTTGGAATGGTTCAGGATCGTTAAAATTTCTCGATCGTAGTCCAGGGATGTACTTATGATTTCGGTAGAGCGTCTACCACTTTATTAAGCCTTGATTTACGATCTGATCAGAAAGATTGCTAAATATTGCTACTCGTTCAAGGAAGGCAGAAAACATTTACAAATCCATGATTTCTCATATTAAACTGTTTTACACTTTTGTTTTATTAGACGGTATTAATTTCAATTATTCCTTAAACCATTCATTCTTCTACTTCAAGGTTGTTG